AGAAAATGTATTTTGTATTGTTATTTTTTTCTCAATTCTGAAATGTAGTTCCTATTTCAAATAAAGGCACTTGAACTTTGTTTTTAATAGGAATTTGTATAATATATAATTAATTTAAAAAAAATACTGGCCCGGCCTGGCCCGGCGGGTGGCCCGACCCGTGACCCGGCCGGGTGGCCCGGCCCGAACCGGAACCGGCCATTGCCCGGGCCGGTCCCGGGCCTACCTTTACCAGACCCGAGGCCCGACCGGGCCTTGGCCCGGCCCGGGTCCATCACTATCTGGAACTGGACTTGGAGACTGACGAGACCATGATTGAGTACGATTAGCAGATGAAGTTTGAGGTTGATATGAGTTTGGTTTAGGTGTATAAAAGGATTGTGGACTGAAATGATTTTGGTGATAAGGATCTGGTGAATTAGGATTCCAGTAGTTGGAAGGTGAAGGAGTGGAGGTTGTTAGAGTAGGATTGAAGTTTGGATTGGTGTAGGCAGGATTATAACGATGATAGCAGATTAGGGCATGGTGACCTGGTTTTCCACAAACCTGACATGTTACAGAGTAGCACCCTCCAGAGCGACTTCCACGACCTCGACCACGATAAGAATTATTGTTATTAGGGTTATTGAATTGGGCAATGTTGGCGGAAGAGTTCTCAACAGCTGCAAAAGTTTCAGAGGAGTTCGTTTGAGGAGCGGATTCAACGCGAGCAATATTAGCAGAGAATATATTATGTTGAGTGGAACCGTGAATCTTCTTCAGGCGCATTTCTTTAACCAAGAGCATTGGTTCGAGCTCAGAAACTGTAACAAGATCCAAGATGCTTCGAGATGTTACAGAAGATACGATAGATTCGTAAACTTCAGGAAGACCTTCGAGAATGACATTAACATGGTCCTTGGTGGATATCGGCTCTCCTATTGACATGAGATTGTCAACAATAGTCTGAATACGAAGTAGATATTCAACGATTGATCGTTCTCCCTTTCCAGTGTTGTAAAGTTCCGATTTCAATTGTCTGGCTGTTGCAACAATATTGCAGTGAAAGAAATTGTGAATCGCACTCCAAAGCTCATGCGAACGTTGATGGTTGAATAACACGAGCGTGGAGTGATTCAGATAGGGACGAGAGCATCCATGAGAACAACATCTGGTCCTGTTGCTCCCAGACAACATACGCTTGATTCACTGTTTTGGTTTCTCCATCATCTTCGATGATGATCTGATCACGAATTTGTGGCTTTTCAATGAATTTGAACAATTTGTGTGCGCGAATCACAAATCCAATGTGATGTTTCCAGAGAAGATAGTTATTCGAATCAAGCTTAATCGGAAGAGGATGTGAGAATGCTACAGGAAAAACAACATTTCCGGTAGCTGGGGAAGAAGATGATGTTGAACTGGAGGTCGTCATGGTTAGCTCGAGCTAGAGCTCTGATACCATATTAGAAAAGTTGCAGAGACTGGAAAGGAATGAATCAATCTTATCAATCTGAAAGGGGGTTACATGTATTTATAGTACAACAGCTTTAACAGACTGCTAACTAACTATGTCAGCTCTAACAAACTAACAACCAATAGCTAGGCTTATTACAATAGGTTCGTATACTACTCCTAACACAAAATGACAAAAAGTATTTTGTCTATCGTCCACCTTGGAACCAGACTTAGAATTAATCACCTCCGTAGAAGCAATATAATTCGCCGATCCCGCTTTGGGCTTATCTGAGCCAATGACTTGCAGACCTGACTCCTCATCCCCTGTCCTAAATTCTAAAGTTTTTTTTACCCGTAGAATACTCATTATATGAGTGTTCCGCACCACATACATAACGAAAATCATCCTACTGTTCTGGCTAATAAGGCCAAAACCAACACAAAATAACTAAAGCTAGAAGTCTGAAAGAAAATTGAAAATGAAAGAAACAAAAATAAAATCTTGACTTATTCAACTTCATCTTTTTAGGCGAGCGTGTCACCTAGAAGGTTAGAACTCACCCCAACTCCATTTTTTCCGGCATCAAGTTCCAGCTTTGCCTTCACAATCCTTTCCCCAAGCTTCACCTTCTCTGCCATGTAGACCTCATGCTTACCATCCATCATCTTCCCCTGCTCCGCCCTAATCCAGATCGGAGATGTCCCACCGCCAGAGTGGACCAAAAAAGAAACAAATCGGAGCAAATTCCTATTGCCCCGTCCGCCATCCGTCGTGCCCACTACCCAACCATCTCCTACGAAGTAGCTATCCTTCTCGATCAGCCCTTCTCTGAAGCCAGCAACCCGAATAGCGTCGAAACACCCCCCAACCTGCCCCGCTCCACTTGCCATGCCTGAGTTGTTGTTTACTTCCATTGAAATTGCTTGCATGACGATCGAATTGGCACCACACATTAATGGCGGAAAGCAAGCCGCCATATGTCGGAGGAAAAAAACCCTACGATATAGGGAAAGACCTTTTAATGATTGAATTTTAGGATTAAATCTATGTTTAAAAAACCGACCCGACCCAGCCGGGTTGACCCGGAACCCGGTGACCCGGACAAAAAACCGGTTCGGTTTTTTCAAAACCCGGAAATGGTCAAAAACCGGAAAAACTCGGCTGACCCGGGAAAACCCGGTCAAGACCCGGACCCAAGAAACCCGAAAAACCCGGTAAAACCCAGTTTTTGGGTGTTTTTACCAAAAAAAGTAATTTCTTTTTTTATTTTTAATGCATTTTTTATACCAATAAAATTGCAATTTCAATACCTTAAAAAGAAAAACTACGTAATATATTTATATATTTATTTAATAATGAACATTATGCCAAATTATAATATAGACATACAATAAATATAAAAATATCATTATATATTTTTATAAGATCAAAATATGCATTGAAATATTATAAGAGTGTATTAAATGCTTAATAAGTAGTATTGTTAGTTGATTATTATGAATAATAACTAATTTTTATTATAATTTTATATATAATTATATGTTTACTATTATTATATAGACATATAATCATTGACCGGTTTTCCGGCGTTGACCGGGTTGACCCACCAGGTCCGGGTTGACCCGTGACCCAGTCATGTGGCCGGGTCACTCTCCGGTCCGGTTTTTATAACATAGGATTAAATGTTACTCCCTCTGTATCACATATATCTTCCCACTTCCAAAGTGGGTGAGATTAAGAATAGTGAAATGGGGTATGAATTATTGAGGGTATGATGGGAAAATGGTGAAATGATGTGATGGAATGAAGGATAAATCCAAAAAAAGTAGATGTAGTAGTGTATTATTTTTTAAATTATTGAGAGTATGATGGGGAGATTTAGAAATGTGAAGATATAAATGTTACGTCCAAAAAAGGAAAGTGGAAAGATATGAATGTTACGGAAGGAGTATGTAAATAATTTACATTTAATGAAAAACATTCTCATAAAATTGGATCAAAAAATTTGAACCAAAAGCTCAAAAAAGGAAGATTGGGGTCCACAGACAACTCATCTCGCGACAGACAACTTGTCTGTGGGGGAAGTGTACACTTTTTGTGTACAAAAAGTGTGTACCCTAGAATTACTCAAAAAGGAATTGGTCGTACGTGACATTTGGTCAGGCGCGCCTAATGACGTTTCTCTTCAATTATATATTGGACAGCCATAATATTGGAAGAAGTCACCAGTCATCCAATCCTCTTAATTAATCCCACCCGACCGATCTAAAAGCAGGAAAGAGTACCCGTCTGCATGTCTCCACAAAGGTTCACAACGTACCCTTATCTATAGGGTACCTATATTATTGTACTACGTATATGTAGTATATATGCTCATTATATCGTCCTGGTCCAGCCCCACTGTTCTAGGAATCTGAAATTTCTCCTCAATAACTTTTGAGAGAACAAGGTTAAAAACTTAAAATTCAGAGCCGTGAAAGAAAATAAATATTTATTCGGACTCTATAAGCTTGTTATTGAAACATTTTCAAACACCCCAGTTTTGAATAGTTATTTCATTTATCACACTCCCTCCATTTTACGGAGTAATAAATACGCAGTGTATTATACTCCGTATCATAAAAGACGCAGTGTATATATAGTGTGGTATATCACATATGTTATGACACGGTGAGACCACATATTGTTTTTTACCACTAATATGCTTGGTTATTATCATTTCATCACTATTCAATACCTAAAAACCCCAATTGTATAATGTAATTAGACCCCATAGAGTTTGCTTTATTTAAAAAGAAATGTTGTTTATACATTGTACACAACTTTTTACACACTGATCAAATTATCTTCTAAGTATAGATAATTTTTGTTCGTTTGTAAAGAAAACCATATTTCGCGTACATACACCAGCAAAAAAATTGTTGGTACATTCACGAAACATGGCTATTATTTAAAAATGAGTGTGATTTGACATGTCAAATCACTGCCACCAACTTGTCAAATGTGATATTTGTAAGGTGTTACAGACGGTATAACCAAGTCTTATCCGTCGATCCAACTCGACGCGGAGTTGGACGGGGGGTTGGGGGGTAGCCCCCCTCGAGGGGTCCGGGGGACGAAGTCTCCGACCGAAATTTTTGGTCCGGGGGACGAAGTGACGCAGTTGAATTAATCAAATCTAAATTGAAGTAATAGGTTATATTCCGTAGCAGAGAGACCTCTCAGATGCTTCGAGCTATCAAATCTATTAAGATTTAACAGTATTATTAAAATAAAAAGAAATGAATTATATATATTTTAGAATGAGATGGAACAAATGCAAATTATGGTAATATACTCCCTTCTTGAATAATCGATTACATATTGTTTTTGCTAGGATATTTTGACGACATTTTTTTAATATTTTAATATAAAAAAATTTAAAAAATATTTTTAAATTTATCTCACAACAGATTTCTAAAATTTGAATGTTTTAAATTTTTACTAATACATAATTAAATTAATTAATGTTTAAAGTTGTTTATCGACAAACGTGAAAAGCAAACTAGTACACTTATTTAGAAACATGTAAAAGTAGATTTTTTTTATCATCAAAACAGGCCTCTATTCATATCAAAAGATTCAGGATCGTTACATCAAACAAAGGGAAAATAAAACTGACACCAGGCCAACTAAAACTACAACAACTACGACTGTAACCCTATGGTGAGACTTTGAGACGGTCACCCCCGAAAGAGCAACACGAATCGCTAACCATGTAGTGGACTTGACACAGCCAAACATGTTCCCATAGATCCAACCATACCCAATGACATAAAGAGAGACTGAAAACTCAAACAAATTGTCAAAACCAACAACAAAGATGAGCACAAGAAAATAAATGACAAACAGATAAAAATTACTAGGAAAACTTTCATGGACTCTAGCACCTCATACAACCCATGGTGGTGGTTCAGGCGGGGGTCGGACCGTCGCTCGATTGATACCCCTTTCAGTGGCGTACCCGCCGTATGACCCAAATCCATGCCATCGAATGGAGCGTTCAGCCTCTCCATGCTAACTATGTCCCGATCATCCCTACGTATCTCTCTCGCTTCTTTCACCATCTTCTCGCTGTCACGATCATCCATCTCGAACTACGCCCAAACCACGACAATCCGGCGCAGAGCTGCGTCATTTGAAAGAAACGTCGCACCAGGGCGGCGAAGTAAAAAGCCTACGCGAGAGATCTCGCTAGAGAAACACTGACCGAACTTCGATCAAATAAGATGGAAATAACCTAGGAAGTTCGTAATTCGCTTTCTTGAATCAGATCTGATAAATTAAATTATAACGTGTAAAAGTACATAGTGCACTTATTTATATAAAAAATTTCAAAATTAAATTGAGATTATTTTTATTTATGATATGAGACAATTAAAGGAATGGATGGGATTATTACTATTTCCTGGTAGGCTTCTTCTTATCTTTATTATTGCCACTACTCCTGAACAAAGATCCCAAGCCAAAGAGGTTCCTAGAACCCATGGAGATGCAGCTCGGAGGCGGGACATTAAGCACCGGATTAATGCGAACGGCGCCGTTTCCGGGATTCGCCGCCCTCTTCTGTGACGACGACGACAGCGGAAATTCGTAAAAGCTGCAAGAAGAGGAGGAGGAGGAAGAAGAACAAGAGGCGCTTTTCAATCTGTGAGCCTTTTCCGTGCCGGTCTGCTCCGACCCGGTGGAGTAGCTGCGCGGCAGAGGCTGAAATGACCAAACCGACCCTCTCTGATCCCCTGCTGCGGCATTCTGCTGCTCGCTTTGCCGCCGCCTCCTCGAACCACTGCGCCAGAAAGCAGCAGCCGGCTTACTCTGCTGCTGGCTCTTCACCTTCTTCAAAACCACATCTTTCGGGGCCCTTTGCTGAAGCGGGAGGATGAAGCCGCCATTGGAGAAGATCTCGTCTGCCGCGGCGGCTTCTCCCTCAAAGTTGCCGAAATGGGAGTCAGCAGGGTAATGATGGGTGGAAGAAAAGGAGAATGAGATTCTTGGGCTCGTCGACGGTGACCCTCCATTCATTGCTTTTCTTCTCAGTTGTGTCTGTGGTCCAATCATATGTACAATTAATAATTAATATGGTTTGCAGAAAATGGGGGCATTATATTCATGCTTGTTTCTTTCATGCCCGTAGGATATACAGTAAAAAAATGTGGTATCCAATAAGAAATTCCGGATCAGAGGATGGGTTTTCACAAGACAAGGAATAGATCATAGGCTGGGCTGGTGTACAAGTAATTGGTAGGTATGGCTACATGCGTTTTAATTATTTCACGCCGCACCGGGAGACAGGAATATACTATGGTATTAGTTTCGGTTTGGAACGGGTTGAGAGAATTAATACAAAACAAAAACCAATTTTTCGGTTTGGTTCGATGCGGTTTAGTTCAGTTTGATTCGATTTGAATTTGTGACTTTTAATGATATATGAAGGTTTTTTTTAATTTCTTTAGTTCGGTTCGATGTTTTACATTTTTACCAATTACGGTTCTGTTCGATATAGTATAATACAGGTTGGAAGAAATACTACCAAACTCAAATCAAATTGTATATGTATGGTTCGGTTTAGGTAGGCTTGATACAGTTCAGTTCGGTTAAACCAAACGGATATGCCCAACCCTAATACATACTCATAAACTTGGACATCAAATACTCAGTATTATAATTATTAGAAATTACTCCAAATGGGACTAAAACTATGATAAAAACTCAAAATAGGACTTGCTATGTTTTTATTCCAAAATAGGACCATAGTGGTCATATTGAAAACATACCTATTTTCCCATTCTATTCTTACCCTTCCTTTAAATATGAGTAAAAGATAGTCAAAAGTCATAATTAAATGTTTAATTCATAATAAATTAGAAAAAACAAAAAAAAAAACGTAAAAAAATAAAAAAAATTATAAAAAAAATAAAAATTAATAAAATAATTAATAAAAAATAGTAAAACTCGATAAAAATAATTAAAAAAACATGGATGCCTTTCACACCGCCTGTACTGCCTCTCTGCACCACCATCTCCAACAGGTGTAAAAATGCCATTTTTCTGAAAATGCCAAAAAAATGGCATATTGCTCTTTGAGAATGCCAACATTTTCATTATTTTTGCCAAAAATATGGCATTCTTAATGCAAGTGGCATTTTCCCCTCGGTGACCAGAGGTGGTGGTACTGCCTCCCTGCACCACCACCTCCGACCGGTGTAAAAAACTGCTATTTTTTCTAAAAAAATGATATTTTTCTGAAGATGTCAAAAAATATCATATTACTCTTTGAGAATGCCAACATTTTCAATATTTTCTGTCATAAATATGACATTCGTAATGAATTTGGCAATTCCCCCCCCCCCCCCCCGGTGACTGGAGGTGGCGGTGCTTGGGTGGCAGAGGCGGTGGTGATTTTTATTTTATATTTTTGCACTTTCATTTTTTTTATTTTTTTATTTTTAAATTTAAGATATTATTATTTAAATATTTTTATTATTTTTAAGTATTTTTTACGATTTTTATTATTATTTTATTATGAATTAAAACATTTCAATAGCAACAAAGGTATATTTGTCTAACACACACATAATTAGTCTTATCAAAATATAGTTTACTTTTTGGTACTATTTGTGCAAACTAACAGGCTTTTAGTCCTATTTTGATAATTAACTCTATAATTATTCATGAGCAAAACCCATTACAAGAACAAATGTAAAACTTCGATAATTTCTTATCCTAATATTCCCTCCGTCTCCCCCACCCCCTATTATTGGGACGGAAGGGAGTAACACACCAACCAAGACAAAAGCAACTTTGTGATAAAGTAACTAACCAAAAAGTTAAAAATGAACCGTACTAAGGTAGATCCCTATTACTTTCTCATTAAATTTACTTTTTCACTTTCCAAATAAGGTATGAGACAATAATAGTTTGACATCCAAAAATGAAAAAATGAGACAATTATTGGGGGATGGAAGAAGAATTATAGTTGAATATGAAGTAAAATTTTCAAGATCTCTAAATTATGCCGAAATACTAATTACTTTTCATTTATTTGGCATTTCAATTTGTTCACTAGGGTTTTTAAATAGTAGATTACTAAGATTTTTCATAGCAAATTGAGTAGATCCACAGCAAATGAAAAAGTGAACCACTTCAAATGAATTTCTAGTGATACTAGTGTCATCCACATATATTAAGAGGTACAAAAAACATCGTGACACTAATAAATAAATAAAGAGGTGTAGGACTTACGAGACTTAAAGCCATGTTGAAGAAGAAAACTATTAACACGATGATACCAAGCACGAGGTGCTTGTTTTAAATTACACAGGGCTTTAAGTAGCCGGCATATGTGATGAAACAAGCCCCGGGGTTGATGCATATTAACTTTCTTGGTAAAAAAAACTATGGAGAAAGGCCCTCTTAACATTTAATTGACGGACGGGCCACCTAGATGAAATAGCAATACTCGAAGCAAGATGAACAGTGTCGTGAATGATCACAAAACTAAACGTCTCAAAAGTATTTATCCCATCCTGCTAATGAAACATGAAAACCCAAGCACACTTACATCCAACCACAATTCTAGTGTGTGGTACTAAATTCCATGTGTAATCAGCAATTAAGGAATTAAATTCTTCCGACACAACTCCCAATGCAATCCTTTGATACACTTATTGATGGTGGATCGTGTAGAGATCCAATCTGTGCAATTTAGGGTAAGATCCCTCCCATGTTTTATATAAGCTATCACAAGCTTGTCATATTTTCTATTAGTGAGTTGTCGTTAACTCAGTAAACTAACGTGACTCCTCGGCACTACACTCTGTATTCTAATTTCTAAAAAAAAACTATGCAAAATGGATAAAGTTTGAAGTAAAGTTTGAAAAAAAACTATGCAAAAAAACTATGCAAAATGCAAAAACAAAGCTCACATATTTCGCTTTTAAATAAAGTTTGAAAAAATGGATAAGGAGAGATTTCCTAGCCTTTCTATTGGGAGATCTAACCGTTTTTCGGAAAAAGAGAAATCATGTGGATACCTAAGGTCAAGGATTATCACCGCTAGGTTGGAAGATCTGTAAGTTCTAACTTAGATCTGTTATTATTGTTATATTCGTTGTTTTGTCATAATCAGGAAAAATCTGTTCGAGAAAATTTTAAACTTTTGTTGAGTCATAATCGAGGTACGTTACATCAATTTCTTAACATTAGGTACTATGTGAAGCACATGTACAATAATATTAAAGCAAAGTTTGGTAGCTTGGAGCTTAAAAAACTATTATGGAAAACAGAATAAACATTTAATGTGTACAATAATATTATGGTAGCTTTAATTGAATATTGGCAAGCATGAGATTCCCCATCTATTTCACTCAAACATATCAAATACATATCATTTTGTTGGTGACGGATCAGTCCGATGACGACAACGGGGAACTTCGGTGACAGAGGCGGACATGCAGATCGGTAGCGGAGATCTAGGTGAAAATTCCGACGACCAACAGTGGCGGTCCGCATTTTAAAGTCTATGAACTTTTTGAAAGTCAATTCAATAAACTTATCCATGGATTTAAAAGTTCATAGAATTCATTCATAAAAAAGTCTATGGATTTAAAAGTCCATTGACTTTTTTAAAAGTCCATGGATTAAAAAAAAGTCCACCACAATCCATATTCAATACACTCCCGTGAGTTAAGAGGTTTGGGATGGAAAAATACGCTAAAATGTGTGCCCCAACATCATAAAGAAGTTAGATATTCAAAGCCAATGAAGTAGGCATTGCTACCCTTCTTGGATAGGGAATGACACATTTGAGGTGCGATATTATATGGAAAATCACATTGTTCATCTTAAAGAGTAATTATGTACGTGCGGGTTCCTCCAGTTGTGTGGTTATCCTTGTTGTGGATCGTTGCGCTTACCGTTACACTAGAAGCAATAGCTGACAGTGTAGTGCGCCCTTCCCCGTTTATAGAATAGGCAAAATGTCATGTTTCGATTGCACCAGCAGGCTGGCATTCTGCTGGCAGCACATACAACTCCTCCCAACACCTCCCTCCAGCACCTGTCAGCCTACAACTGAAATGCATGTTGTTACCGGGGGTCGAACCCGTGACATTTGGCTCTGATACCAATTGGGGATCGTTGCGCTTACCGCTACACCAAAAGCAATTGGTAACAATGCAGACCCCCCCCCCCATAGAATAGGCAAAGCACCACGTTTTCGATTGCATCGGCAGGCTGGCAAACTACTGGCAAAGTGGCAGCGCATACCCGCGACCCAACCCTTGTTGTCATGTTTGGCCCTGCATTTCCTATCATATGCTCAGTATTGAAGACTATATACATGACTACTTCAGTTTTAAGAGTTTATCAACACATGATTCATCCAGTTCGGGTATGCACATGTTTGAAGATATTGGAAGTAGTGAGATTGCGGCACCAATTTCATGAAGAAAAGAAGAGATGATGGAAATTACATTAACCCGTCAAAAGTTTCAAGAAGGGGAGCAACACATACATGTAAGATGTGCAGAACTCTTGGAAATAATAAACCACCTTGCCTAAAAAAACTGCACCAAAACCCACTGAACAAAATGCAAACGAATCTAGAAATCAAATGCGACCATCTACTGAAATTCTACCCCTGGACAGGTGGATCATGACATTTTTTGCGATTGTGTCGAATTTTTATACACAAACCTTTCGGATTACTTCCGATCAGATAAATTCATTGTCATTTTTTTTCAATTAATGTGCAAGTTGAGACTATTCCTAGAGTAACTAGAAATGCAGCAAAAAAGAAGACCTTGAATGAGAACTCAGCTTCTGGGGATATTAGTGCCACCAGACAACTGTCCAAAAATTTATCTCTTTTTTATAATGAATTGTCTTCTATGGAATGCTAGGGGTCTGGAAGCTTCTTGCCCTAGATTTTGTTCCCTAATAAGAATAAGACTATGGAATGTGAATATTTTGTGTATTATTGAACCTATTGTTGACAATTCTAGGGCCAGTTATTTTATGATGGAGATGAGTTTTCAAAGGGTGCTGCTTTCTCCCATGAATAAGATTTGGATTTTTCGGGATCCAGAAGCTTTTTCCATTTCTAGGGTTGCCTGACATGCATAATCAACTAGTACATTTTTAAGTTAAGGGTGATGATTTCTCAAGTTGGGTGACAACATTTATGGAAAGCAGAATCCAAATTAAAAGAGACAAATGTGGAGCTATCTTTCAGACATTGCTATCAATATGAAGGATCCTTGGTTAGTAGGGAAATTTTAATGCTATTGCAAAACACAGTGAACATGAAGGAGAAGTTATCCCTAATCTTACTAGTATCTTAGATTTTTTTCAGAATGCATTTCAGCTTGTGACTTGATTGATCTACCTTATCAAGGCCCACAATTTATTTGGATAGGTATGAGAGCCAATGGTAGAGTATGGAGGAGGCTGAATAGATGTTTAGTTAATTCAAAGTTTCTGGATTGGTTTGCCTCTATTCAAGGTTAATATTTTGGGAAAATGCCTTCTGATCATAGTCTCATTTTGTTTAGTGTAAAAAAGATCTTCTCAGTGATCCTAGATCATTTAAATTCCAGAATACTTGGCTTTTTCATCCTACTTTTATGGACATTGTTAATAAAAGTTGGCATGCTAAGTCTTTTGGTGGGGGAATGCATGGTCTTTTTTCTAAGCTCAAGTGTCTTAAGTAGGATCTCAGGGAGGGGAATATGAATGTTTTGGGAATCTTTTTTATGACATTAAGCTATGTGAGAATAAAGTACAACATGCTCAGATGGAGTTTGAGGCAGATTCTAGTGAAGCCAATAGAGAGCCGCGGTTTCATTTGAAGCCTTTACTCAAATCTAAATATAAATTGGAGAGAAAATTCTGGAAACAAAAGGCTCATGTTTAGTGATTAAAGGATGGGATTTCAATTCACACATATTTCACTCTTTTGTTAAGGTAAGAAACAAAAAAGCAACAAACTACATCTATTCACAACAATGAAGGCCTTCTTTTTTCTACCTTACCTGAGACACGAGAGGCCACAGTCTCCTATTTTTGTGCCCTTTACTCAGCGAAC